ACACACACACACACACACACACACACACACACACACACACACACACACACTGGAATACTACTCAGCCATAAAAAAGATGAAATCTTGTCATTTGCAACAACATGGATGGACCTTGAGGGTATTATGCTATGTGAAATAAGCCAGAGAAAGACAAATATATGATTTCTCTCACTGTGGAATTAAAAAAAAAGAATAAATCAAATAAAAACAAACATGTAGATACAGAGAACAGAGTAATGGTTACCAGAGGGGAGGGGGTGGGGAGGAGGGTGAAACAGATAAAGGAGATCAACAGTATGGTGATGGATGGAAACTATATTTTTGGTGATGAGGATGCTGTAGAAATATAATGTTGTACACTCAAAACTTATGTTATAAACCAATGTTGCCTCAATTTAAATAAATGGTATTTACCTTATTCATCTTTTTATCCTTTAGCACATAATTAGCACTCAACAATATGTTTGTTGAATTAAACTGAACAGAGAAGTACATAAAGATTTGCTTACAGGATATTGGCCAAATTATCCTTCATCAGAGTAATGAGAAAACAATGGGCTTAAACTCATCTGGCCCCAACTACTATTATTAATACCAGTAACAGTCTCTTATATGGCACGTGACCAGTGTCCTATGATAGAAGGTCATGGTCCACAACATTCTTACAGCTGGATTCCAGTTCTGCTACTTACAAAATAAGCACTCTTGAACAAGTTACTTACCCTATCTTAACTCAGTTCCCTCAGTATAAAATGGGAGAAACACAACTTTCCTTGGTGTAAGGTTATAAACAGTGCATGAAGAGTAATGCCGAGTATTGACCCTGGCACAGGGTACGTAGGTAAAAAGCAGTAATTTAGCTTCAGTGGTGATCATTTCCAGCCAGAACAGATCCAACTAGAAAAAGTGTCTCTCTCTTCTTCCCCAAAGACATAGGCTCCACCAGGATTTATTTTGCTTTATTTTCCTCACTCTCTCCCACAATTAAGATGCAAAAACCTCTACACCATAACCATTATTTTCTCTTTCCAAATCCTGGTTTCCCTCTTCTCTAATTATCTCCAACAGAAGGGTCATCAGAAGGAACAGAGCAAGAAAGGCAAGGACTTACAACTCAAGATAGACTGTGGTCAAATAAGGAAGAACTTGACTACCACTCTGATTCAACCGTGGAACAGACTCAAAAGGAATTCTTGGTAAAATGTCAAGTGGGGAGAATTCAAGCCTGGGGAAGGATTACATGACTTCGCACTGGGACAATGAACCCTCAAGTTAACTACACCTTGAACTAAACACTCCTTCAATCAGAAACAGTCAGTTACTGGTGCTCCAACACCAAACAGTGGAAAAGGGCCAATGAGATGAGAGTCATAACCATCATGATCAGAAGCAAAAGGAGGAAAGGAATGCTCCCTGAAAGCTTTCTTCTACCCAGGAAATGAAGCACAGGCAGCTAGGCAGTATCAAGAGAAACAAATGGGATCACAATGTTGCAATTTAATAGCATAGCGCTGTTCAAACTTTATAAAACAATCCAGCATGTGCTGGTAGCTGTTTGTATTATAGAGAGGCAGGAGAGCATGGAGGTGAAAAACACATGGGCTCTGGAACCAGACTGCCTGAAACGTATCCCAGCTCCTGTACTTAACTAGCTGTGTGATCTTGGGAAAGTTACTTAACCTCTCTGTGCCTCAGTTTTCACCTCTGAAAAATGAAGCTCACAAACCTAGACTCCACAGGGATGCTCTTTACAAAAACTCATTTCTAAGGCAGAGTAGTGCTAGGCACATGATTAATGCTATACGTGTTTCACAAATAAAACTATTAAGATCCAGTACTCACTCAGGAGCAGCTTATACACAACCTTGTGCTTCAAAACTGCTGCTGGTGTTGCCATCATAAATCTCAAAGACCCCTTTATTTTATGTTGACTCCTAGAAATTCAACTTGTGGACTAACAAATCCTTTTATTGAAGGATAAATAACCAATAAACACTGGTTTATTGAACCGAATAGGTCTAAAACCCAGAGGTCATTCTGACATGGTGAAATGGAAACCGAAGGTTTGACACTTAATCAAACTGTAATCATCCCCAGAATAAATGAACAAAATACACATTATTTCTTGAGCAGCCCTTGTGGTCACTTTCCAAGCTGTTGTATTTGACTGGAAGGCACAAAACGTAATAGTGGTGCAGCTAGTTTTGGTTTCTGCCACACGACTGAACCAAGTGGCATCAACTTAGTGAATCCACTATGGCTTTCTCTGGTCCTCAGTTCTGAAGGCTCAGAAACCTGGTTTTGTCACCACATTCATTCATTCAACAGTTATTTTACAAGTACCTACTTTGTGCCACATCCCACAACAGGTCATGTGGAGAAACTGGACAACACATCATCACACTTCCTGCTCACTGCCGCAAAGCTGACAATCTGGCAGAGAAGACATATTAAAAAACCGAACGTGCATCACAAAAAAGCCTGATGGTCAATAAACTTGTTCCTACAAGACCAACCCATCTTTCGCATGCAAGCACGACTACATAGAACTCAAGCAGGGGAGTACGTTGTACGAATGGTAACAGGCACCAACTTGACAAACACCTGGCTGTTTAGGGTGGTGAATTACCTATTCCGAGCCCTGCCCATTCTCCCATTCTTGCTGCTTTTCTCTGCAAGGCTACAGTCCACTTATTTAATTTCTCCTTCCTATACTACAATCCCATACACATCTTGCCTCACCAAATTTCTTTGCCTAGAACCCTGATTGGAGTTCTCCATGTTCTGAACTTCTTCCATCACACATCTATAGAGATAATGCCATTTATTCCAGAGGCAGCTACATGTATTCAATCTTTGTGGAGCCCACTAGTTTAACCTCAGAAACCAGCGTTATATTCTGTTATTTTCAAGTCTGGGGTTGGTGTGGTAGGGCAGAAGGGGCATTTAGGGCCAACGTGCACTGAAACTGTGGCCCCATAAACCCTCAAAATAATTCTCGGGCTTTCCTGGTGGCTCAGTGGTTGAGAGTCCGCCTGCCGATGTAGGCGACATGGGTTCGTGCCCCGGTCCGGGAGGATCCCACATGCCGCGGAGCGGCTGGGCCTGTGAGCCATGGCCGCTGAGCCTGCGCGTCCAGAGCCTGTGCTCCGCAACGGGAGAGGTCACAACAGTGAGAGGCCCGCGTACCGCACACACACACACAATAATAATAATAATAATTCTCATTTAACCTGCAAAACCACCCAATGAGGCACAAAAGTTAATTTTATATGAATCGTTAAGCATACTACACACCGGAAAATGCTAGGCATTGTACAAAGGTCAAAATTCAAACAAGAACTTAGCAGGTTCATAGTCCAAGTTCAGTAGTCATTTTCTACTGGTGGTTCTATGAACTACAAGCAGTACTTGAGATGATACTAGAAAAAGTGCACCCGTATGAAAAGTTTCAACCAACATTGAGATCAGCAGTAAACAAACAAATACTTGAGTCAATACAGAAGTGAAATCTCTCATGTTATTTAATACAAAAAATAGCATCCACGGTAAACAAAGATGCGCTTCATCCCTATCATGGAGAATGTATACTTGTGGCACAGGTATGTTCAAGGCTTTTGTTGATAATTAAACATAGAGGGAAATCATTTTTATACTTCTACTGAACTTTGTTGGATGGAATAAGAAAATTTCACATCTGAGGTGGTGGGGGCCTCAGTGGGGATACTACCTACACGTGCCAGTTAGTTACAGACAGGGCTTTAGTTGTGTCAGCAATCCCAAGGCCTGGTCTTTATTCTTAGAGCCATAATTAGGGCTTTCTTTCCTGGGGCTAAAATTAAAGTAGCTCCCAGAGTTTCAGAGGAGCCACACCATCCCAGGTTCCATCCACTCAACCCTGCTTTACAAACTGGAACAAAGAGCATTAGAGGAACTTTCCACTGAATTTCAATGGAGAAAGATGAACTACTAAAGATTTCTTAAAAGATATTTTTTAAATGTGATCTGACATGAACCCAAATATAGCCCATGGAGAAAATGTAATTCAATAAGGTAATTATTTAAAATTCTCACTGGTTGAACTTTAAAAATAGGCCCTCTAAGCTTCAAAAGAAATGTTCTGTGTATGCTGTCTTCATGGACACAGTTCCGGGAGTCAGCACAGGGCCTGGAACTTATGAGGTTCTCTTTAACTATTTTCTGAATACATAAATGAATAAATATATTCCTTGTGATCATTAACCATGAATTTTTCACCCAGGAAAAACAATAGCTATTTAAAGGCAAAAGTTATTCGAGTATACATTACATAAAAGAATAAAATCCTGCTTTTCACCTTGAAATATGAATTAACTTCCACCACTAAAAACCGAAAATTAATGGAAAAAAAGTAAGTTTTCATAAAGGTGACTGTCAGAGATGGTATTAATTCCAACCCATTTTGCGCAATAAATCTATACAAAAACTTGATATACTTACCTACGTGTGTGCAGTAACAATGACAGAAAGTGAAAGACTCCTTATTTGGAAACAGACTCATAAAAATAGCTATGTGTGAAAGCATATTCATGGGACAGTAAAAACACTTTCTGAGAATCTGTAATAAAGAGACTATAGGCAAAAGTTCCACAATTTGGGCTGTAATAAAACCTTTCAAAAGCTGATATCTTTCAATACTTGATAGCCAAACTCGTCAATGACATCTTCCACATCACCATGATTTATAACACATCACTGAGACATTATTTCCCTGAAACCAGTTCTGTAATTATAGAAAGACTGGGATGCCGACTTCATTATAAACATTTGCTATAAAGGTGCCTTGTCCCCTTGTAATTCCTGCATATATACCCACTGATGTTCACATTGTTGCTTACCACTATCATAAACTACCCTGGTTTGTATTAAGACATTGAGAATCTGTAAAGTAAGTTACAGTCAAGACACAACTCACCGAGCACGATGACCACAGTCTTCAGAAGACTCATCATGGTATCCCGATTGCGCCGCGGCCCAGAACTGTGCCGAGACATCCTCATAGTCCTCTGGCGAACGTAGCCAAAGATATGAGCATAGAGAACCACCATGACGACAAAGGTCACCAAGTTGAAAATGGCCCAGAAGACCAAGTACGAGTCACTGTAGAGGGGTGCCATGTTGGAACAGTTTTCAATATCACAGATGCAGTTCCAGCCCACACTGGGTATGGCCCCCATAACAATGGCCATGGTCCAGATGACCACAATCACCACCACCACCCGCCGGTTGCTCATCCGCGTGTGGAGCTGCATGCGGAAAACCGTAATATGCCTCTCGATTGCAATGGCCAGTAAGTTGGCCACAGAGGCTGTCAGGCTGGTGTCAATGAGGCCCTGACGCAGGAGCCACGTGCTAACAGTCAGTCTCCGAGTATTGGGTCCTGTGTTGAACATTAGGTAGAAGTAGGCCAACCCAGCAAAGAAGTCCGCAGCAGCCAGATTCGCCATTAAGTAATAAATAGGAAAATGGAAGCGGCGGTTGACATAGATCGCCACCATGACCAGCAGGTTGGCCAACATGATGAAGATACAGACGGTGATTCCAAGTCCCATCACCAGCTTGCTAACTGTGTTCCATTCTGTGGCAAGGTACTTTCCACTCCGGTTATAAAAGAAGGCAATGGACTCATTGTAGAAGCACTGTGGTTCATTCATGGCTGTGAACTAAAAGGGAAAGGAAGAGAGGTTAAAAAAGAGAAAAACCATGGACCCAAATTTAAAGATGTGTAGATAACGCAAGTCTTCTACGGTAAATGTGGCCAAAAAAGAGCAAAAGCAAAGAATTTGAAAATCTGGTCCTGTTCTATGATTATGTTGAAACCCCAAGGTTTCTTACTGTTTTACTGTTCTCGAGATTAAAGACAGTTGGAGTTAAATAAATGACAAGGTCTGTTCTTGGTGGCTGCACATCATTGAAGTCTACGAGAAAAGCCGCACGACCCAGAAATCATGCCTAAAATACATGAGACAGATGAGAATTTTGCAGAGCGTTGCAACTGGAATATTTACCATAGTGAAATCTATTTTGGCCCGTTATTTAGGGAATCTGTAAATACAGATGGTTTATAGATAGGGTATTATTGCCCTATTATTCTGCATTTCTGTTCTCACATAGTATGTGCAATCTGTGTCAGATATCTTGTAACGCGAGTCCCCACAAGGACCATCAGTCCCAACATTGCAAAGAGGTCACTATGCATCAAAGCTACTATGCCCAAAGCCAGCGTCTGCTGTTCAACATTCCTGTGGTCAGCACTGTCTTCCCCCACAACTCCTTACCCCAGAAGAGCATTCATCAAATAATCTATGACGTTTGAGAACGTTTTTCTTCTTGGAGGACATAAGAAATATGTAACTAATGTAACCGTCAGAGAGCAGTTCATACTTTGACACTGCTCTAAAAGTACACCTTCTAAAATGTTGAGCGATAATGTTTCATTATGTGTTTTCTTATTTTTAACACCATCAATCAGAATATATTTGCTTATTAACTACTTATACTCTCACTTGAATTCAAAAGGATTGAGGAAGTTTCTAATAGAATGATATAGGTGTCAATAAAACTATTAAAACAAAATTAGAAAGGAAAAAGTAACACGGAGGGCTTCCCTGGTGGCGCAGTGGTTGAGAGTCCGCCTGCTGATGCAGGGGACGCGGGTTCGTGCCCCAGTCCGGGAAGATCCCACATGCCGCGGAGCGGCTGGACCCGTGAGCCATGGCCGCTGAGCCTGCGCGTCCGGAGCCTGTGCTCCGCAACGGGAGAGACCACACAGTGAGAGGCCCATATAACAAAAAAAAAAAAAAAAAAAAAAAAGTAACACGGAGAAACTAGAAAATTACACATCAAATAGAATAAATCACCCTTCCTAAAGCCTTAGGTTTGTCTGTGACTTCTAAAATTAGAGAATATTTCTTGAAGATAGCTCACATCCAACCTTTTTCTTCATATCTTGCACTGCATTTAGTAAATTACCTAGCAAATATGACAGTTTTAACCACTATTTTTGATCGAATATTCTACCGAATATCCGTGAGTTGTGCCTTAATGTTTACCAAACACAGAAAGTTCCAAAACAGTGTGTGAAACTCTTCTTGAATGGTTAGTCTCCTGACCTGTCCAGGCATCTAGGGTCTCTTTCCTCATTTAGACTAAATAGCTTTTAGATTATGCTTCTATAATAATCACTCTTAGCATGTTGTATAATTATGTATCACCTTGTTTCTTAGTCCAGGGGAAGAGTGAAGACCCTGTCTTACACATCTTGGTATCTAATATACCTTCCACAGAGCCCCACTCATTGGCGATCTGAGAATTTGTGATGTTCCATTCCACTCCAAATCTTGCCATTACTCTGGGTATCTCATCTAATTTTCTAGCCTCTCAGTTTCTTGACCTCATCTTTCATGACCTTCTATTCCATTACAACTCAGCTGCCCACTTCCAAGGTCACACCCTGGACTCTGTAACCACTCAGAACTGTCTCCCTTTGGAAATAATCGATTGATACATTCTAATACTCTTTCCATTCTAATTACTCTTCCCATTCTTCCAAATTTATACATTCTAAGTACTCCCTTCCCATTCTTCCAAATTTCTCAATTGATCCCCCTACATCAGTTCTTTGCAGCCATCTATTTCCTTAAGCATCCTACTTTTTCCCAATGGATTACCTCCCTATCTTCCCCCTTTTCCCTATCTGGCTTAGGTTCCACAGGATATCGTTTCAACCTCTTTTTTTTTTTTTTTTTGCTAACGCAAGAACACAGTCTCTTCTTGAAGACTTTGAGGTCAGGTGTCCTTCAGAATTCAAAAATTTGCCAGTTTTAAGAACAGTTATAGAGGACATAATCTATGTTTGATGTAACAGCCCCACCAAAATCTGAGACAGCACTCCATAATGATACACGTTAATCTCTAAAGTAAAATATATGAATATATACACTAAGTTTGATAAATAAAGGTTATAAGTAGCCTCATATCTATTCATTCAGAGCAACTTTTGCCACTGTGTTAAGAAAAGATTATCAGTTTTCAGACCTTCTTAAATGTTATCGTTTCAGATAAGGAAGTAGAGACCTTTATCTTTTAATCTACTTGCTCCACTGCACTTCTGTAACAATTTCTTAGAATAACACCAGTCTTGGATGAATGCAATTGGTTCCCACTTCCACACCTACACCAAGGCTTCTGAGAAATGTTAGAGAAAAATCAACATATCTGGCAGATTGATTCTGCTATAAATTCACATGATGTCTTCCCTCAACTGAGAATTTAATGCCACAAGAAATCTGATTTTCCCCCTAATTATTATTCTGTATCTTCTTCACAGTAAATACTCTAAATTTATTATTCTCTCTTGAGTCTCACCTTCCCTCTCTCCAGCAGCAGTTGCCAAAAGAGGAAACTTAGAAATCATCAGATTGAAACTCTTTTTCCTTTAAAATTACCTATTCAAAAACCCATTTTTTCTTCCCCTTCTGTTACAATGGAAAAGGTGTACCCTTTGCCATCCAAGTGTTCTGAATCCCATCCATTCTTACTATTTCCAGAACCTTGTTCTATAAAATGCTTTCTTTCTTCAAGTCCCTCCTCACTCCTTCTCCTCTCTCTTGAATCCTTCCTATCCATATTGAAGTAAGTTTAATCTCTACCAAAGACAGGAAGGAAGGAAAGAAGGGAGGGAGGGAGGGAGGGGGAGGGAGAGGGGGGAGGGGGGGAGGGGGAGAGGGAGAGAGGGAGAGAGGGGGAGAGAGGGAGAGAGGGAGAGAGGGAGAGAGGGAGAGAGGGAGAGAAGGTTAGAGGGAGGGAGAAAGAAAGAAAGAAATCCCCATATAACTTCATGTTTGGCTTCCAGCTCTGATGATTTTTTCCCCTTCATAGCCAACTGCTCTCCAGTGTCTCACTGGACACACACAAATTTCTCAATTACCTATGGTACAGCTTCTCCCCCTTCCCCTCCATCAAATCCACTCTAGTCAATTCTTGAGTTTCACATAACTTCCCCAAATCACACCAATCTGGTGGCTGTTCCAATGGAAATTTTTCAGTTCTCACCTTACTAACCCCTCAAAGCATCAGATACATGACTGGGAGCCTCTTTTTTAGAAAATTCTCTTTCTTTAGCTATCATGACATCATACTATCCTGGCTCTTGATCTCTCTCTCTCCCTGGTTGGTCCTTCTCAGTCATTTCTGAGGTTCCCCATCCCCTGTGCAACATTACTGTTTCTACCCTATATTCTCATTCAACACACTTTCATTGAGTTTTCTAATATGTCTTCCAAGATTTCAATTATCTTATATATCTCAAATACTCCCATATCTACACATTTGACCCTTATTTCTTCCCTTAACTCTAAGCAAATACCAAACTGCCCACTGTTATCTCTGACAACCTCATAATTACTTCTGTCTCTGTGTTCAAAACCAAGCTCAAACTTATAACCTTCCCCAACTTGTTCCTCCCGCGGTCACTATTTCAGAGGCTGGAGAACCACTATCTTTCTAGTGGCCTGAATGCTAAACGTGGGAATTCCTTTTCCCCTCATCTTCATCATTTAACCAATAACCATACCCTGTAACTTCTCCTTCCTAAGTATCTGTTCAACCTGTTTACTATTCCATCCTCGTGGCCACCAGCATTACTACTACACTGGCTTCCTAGGTGTTCTTTCTACCTAGCACCAATCTCTTCTCTAGTGATCTTTCTAAAAGACAAAGTTGCCCAAACTGCTCCTCTACTAAAAACGCTTCAATGGCTAACAAGTGCACTTAAGCTAAAAATCCATACTCTTCAACCACCTTATCAGGCCTCCTTATCAGGCCTCTCCAGCCTCAACTCAAGCTATTAACGACTTTAAACTCTCTGCTTCAGCTCTATTTAATGTACTGTGCTCTCTCTCACCTCTGGTTCTCAGCATTGCTGAGAACAGAGGTTTTCTGCATCAACATCCAGAGGGTTTGTAAAACACAGCCTGATGACCACATCTGTCTGATTTAGCAGATCTGAGGTGGGGCCCCACATGACGCTGATGCTCCTGGGCTAAGGACCACACTTTGAATACCACTGGCCTAGAACAATCTTCCCCCCATTTTCACCTTATACTCATTCTTCATGTACCAGTTGAAATATTATTATTTCCAGTCATTCTCCCCAGATCTTCCCATGTCTGGGCAAGGTGCCTCCTACCACAGTTCCCTGCATTACTCCTATAACAACACTTACCACACTGTATAATAATTGCTTCACTATCTATTGACACCTCCCCACACTAGGCTGTAAGCATTATGACGGCAGAGATTCTAGCTTTCTTGTTCACTGTTGTATAGCATCCAACTATTAGATTAGATTCTAAATATATACTGATTGCTTTAATAAATTAAAGATAATTCAAAAAACGTTTACACTTCACAAGTTTTCTTTCTGCAAAGGATATTAAAAAAATCATAAATATTATATAAATGAAAATTCTGTTCTTTCCTTTAGCTCCTGTAACCATTTACTTTCTCCAGACAAAGAAATTTCTTAATCAAACAGGAAGCATGTAGTATTTCACAGCATTCCAACTTCTAAACACCAACTGCCAACAAAGTCAAGCAGTGATATGAACAGCTTCTTTGCTTTTCCCACATAGAAAAACCATATAATTAAGAATGACAAAAT